GGGGCCGGGGCGCCCGCAGCCTGCCCCGTTTCAGTGGCTCCCCCCGGGTCTTGCACGACACATCCACGACTCCTCTCGACCCCCCCCCGAGGTGTTTCGGCTCCTCTCCAAGGGCTGGCCAAGAAGCTTGCGCGCCTTCCCGGGGGCCTGGTTTTCGTTCCAAGTCTCCCGCGCGGTGACCGGGACGAATCGACAACGTCGCTGCCTTGGCATCTCTACAGGAGGTGCGTCGGGCAGGTGCTCTGGGGGGTTACGCTGTTTCTGGAGGTCCTCCTCCAGCTGGTTGTGGCCTACGAAGGAAAGTAAAGTTAGGGTTAGGAAGGTGTGCAGTTCAGTTTGTGGATAATGCGAGGTTTAGCCCTCTCGATAAAGGTGGTCATGCTGGTGGTGTTGGTTTTCTGTGGAACAGGCTCAAATCTCATCCCGGTGCTTTTTTTCCTGCCCTGGTCATTTCCCCTCATAACGCCTGTGGCACCTAGTCCTCTGTTGTCTAAATCACATGGATTCCATCCCATTAATCATCCCTGGATACAAGTTTCTCTCAAGATTTTTACCTGTTCACAAACAATTAGAAAGTTCTCTGGAGGAGATGTGCTTGTTTGGTCCCCAGCTCTTCAGGTTTTCCCATCAGCATCCTGCCAAATACACAGTTCTGCCTCATTTCTCTGACATAGTTCAAAGTGTATGTTATTTCTCAAAGGCCTTTGTGTCAAATAACTTGTCTTCATCTAGGGACAATTCACTGGAATGCTACAAGAGCCACTGCTTCCTTTCATTGCTGGTTTCACTGCTCAATACCTGCAGTTTGCTTTTGTTCGCTTTTTTCTCCTGACCTTCATTTTTCCAATGTTAGTGCACATATTATCACATCATTTTTCTGTTACTGTTGCTTGGCTTGTGTACTTAACATTTAATACATCGGTTCACCCCAGCCTAGCATTTTAACCCCCAATTCCTTTATTACTTAACTCTAGAAGTCTGTTTTTATTAGCCAATACCAATAGTGTTCAAAGAACCACATAGTTCACCACACAACCAGCTCCTCGCTGGCCAGCCCAGTGGAACACATTCATGTTGATCATCAGTGCCACCAGCTCCAAACCCAAGCACTAAATTTGCAGCAGCAAGTTTACAGAGAGCAATTCTGAGTATCAACATCAGTGCTAAAGTAAGAAGCATCAATCTTCTCCTGAGAAGAGAGCTGGCAGCTGCCCAGTATGGTGCAGCTGAAGACCTTGACTTCACACAACTCTGTTATGAAGGCTTCTGGGTTTCCCTGCCTGCTCAGTTGGTACTGGTGGAAGCACTGTGACCAGGCCTAGTCATGATTACTCCTCCCCAGCAGGCTCTGCGGAGCTTCTCAAGCCCTGCATCAGCATTTGTCACTGCTTTTAGAACTGCCAAAACTTTTTTTCCACCAAGGCTAGTGATTGTCAGTGTGCTGCCAGTGCACCATCAGTGTCTGCCCTTGACACAGATGTCGTTCCTTTCTGCCAAAGGCAGAGATGGCCATGGCACTTGATCCACGGTCCAGCGTGCTGCCCTCCACCCAGGTGGCCAACCTAGAGTAAGGACTAAAACCCTGACAGGAGGTAGATACAGATCGGTTTAACCTTGGTCTTAGATAATCTCAATTTCTGAGTACTGCAAATCAAGATAAGTGACTGGGGTTTTGTGTTCTTTCCAAATTTACTCCTAATATTGATCTGGAGAGTCTTGTGTACTCATGTGAACCCTCACAGGTTAAGCTACAGAAAATTAGCTCCTCATATGCCTTTTCTATATCACTTGTTGCTTTATATATATTTTACTGCACTTAATTCAATTCCTTTCCCAACCTTTTCAGTCCAATTCATCTTAATTTCAATGTCCTTGATCATTAATATTGTTTACTCTGAAATAGTCTTTTTTTTCACATGAGGTGCTGGGAATGATCCTAACCTAACTTGATTTGTGTAAATGGACACATTTAAGATTTGCTTTCATTGAACAACCTGGAGTGACAAACAAGATTCCTTCTGCAGCTGCAAAGCCAGTTCAGGAATGGGATTTTGCTGCTCCGAGTGGTTGTGCCAGTGCTGGTCATGCTGCAGCTGTCACAACCAGGACATGACAACGTTGTGACAAAGGGACCCAAAGAAGTAAGGGTCTGGTGATGGAGGTGGCAACTGTCCTGCTTCCTCCTGCCCCTCTGAAATGCTGGGGTTTCAACTCCAAGCCCCAGATTAAGGTTGACCTATGGGTGACACCCACAGCCCTTCACAAAGGGGTGGTGAGTTTGCCTTTAGGCTTCCCTCCAGGATGCGGTGGCCTGGCAGGGAGAGCCACTGGGTAAATGAGCCCCGGGTATCCCACATTAAGTAAACAAAGGTCAGGTGTCCCACTTAGGGATAAAAGCTGGGACCACGTTCAGGAAAGGGCAGTGTCTGTCTGTGAGGTGGAGGCACTTTGCAGAGTTCCCTGTTGGGGAAGAACCTCTTGCCTCCCTGGGACTGGGCTCCAGTCAGGTCTGGCTTTTGTAAGCGTTGGCTGTGTAGAGATTCAGTGTGTGGCTTCCTTGGCCTTATGTATTTAGTTTGTTGACTCGGTTGTCTCCCATCCCTTCTATGGGAGACTGCATTTCACCATTCCACCCATTGTCAGTCATGCAGTGTCGTTGTTGGGGTCAGTGGGGTTGATGTCCATCATGTATAATCTGATTGACTTGTTTGTATCCCCATAGCTCACCCATGTACTGACCCTTTTGTATCAAATACAATTTAGTTATTGGTTCATTTTAATGCTGGCTGTGTCCTTTATGCTAGGCCTAATAATTGGCAAAACACCTTCCTCCTGGATCTGATGTTTTCTTAGTAAGTACTGGTCCAGTATTTGTATCTTAAATAGTTGCAAGAAAAGGTATCAAGTTCAACAGGTGCAAAAACTGCTACCAGCAGAATTTGAAGGCATAAAATCTGTAAAGCTAATGAGGATAATATTTCTTAAATAAGTGTAAAGTAGTGAAAGTGTTATTCTCTAAAATATTCTGGTTTTATCTTGAGATTTTAACAAAAACTAAGTTATGTGAAATTGGGTTGTGTTTTTTTAGGCACTGATTCCATCAATAAGACAAAATTATGAAAGGAAAAAGTGTATTATATTATTTCCCTAGTGGACAAAACTGCAAAGAGAATTTGGAACAATAACAGGGTTGTAAATGATGTTTTCTGTCTTTTTCCCACTAGTGAGCCAACTCTGACTACCACTGAGTGCAGGCACTCTGTTGTAGATGTTAAAAGTGACATTTTTAAAAACTCAACAATTAGTTTTCAGAACCAAACTGCAAATTGGAAGCCACCCTAAAAAATATACTTAAAGGGTTTGAAGAAGCCAGCCTCTTAGGCCTTCAGCAACTATTTATGTTACCAAGTAGAAGAACTGGATTGACTGACCTTTGTTTCTTGCTGCTCAAAGTAGTATAAGTAAGGATTTTGAAATAAGAATAGCACATAGTGACTTACAGCTGCACAAAACATGTATGTGAACACTTTACTTGGTCAGGAATTTCTGCTGTCTTAATCAGGAATCAAACTTTCAGAGTCAAAGTGAATGTTATTCTGATTTTATTGAGACAGAAAACCTGTAATTCATGTCTATTATTTAATGTGTTCCTAGTGATCTGTAATTTGGAGGATGAAACACAGTCAAACTAAAGCCAAATATCTACCAATGTCTATATATTGGATATCTCATTTTAATTTGGAGTTCGGCATCTCAAAACTCTTGAGAATACATGCTGAAAGAGGTGTTTCAAAGCAGTATGATTTATTTTTCTGCTCATGTGCAGAAACTTAAAATAAAAAATTTGGGAACAACTTTGGGAAAAGGTGACAATTTTAGGCTACCTTGAATTCGAAAAAGGTGAATGAGTAGAGGCTCTGAAACAAAAAATGATAAAAGGGTTTATCACCTCAGTGTAACTTTTCCTTGAAGTCCCCAAATCCTTCCTTCTTTATTTTGTTAATTTTCCTCTATGCTATCACTTTGCTGCTTTAGTAAGAAAAGCAAAGTGTGTTTTCATGAGAGAAGATGAAGGTCTGGTTGCACTTAGACTTTTCATTATGATGATACCCTCTGTGGACCTTGGAAAAACTGTGTCTGGATATGAAACAATGACCTTGGAGGAAACACACTGAATAGTGCTTTGTGCAAGGCAGTGGCTACAAATAGACCAATTTTCACCAGTATAATTTCTAAGAACAAACTCAGTCAAATGCTTACTCAGTATGTGCTATCTTTTTTTTTTGTTGTTGTTGCTATTTGTGTTATCTCTCTAGATTATTTTGTTTTGCTGGTGATACTATCTTATCATAACAAGAAATGACTATTTTTTAAAACTATAGAAATGGATAATAAATTTCATGTAAAAGGAAATAAACGGATTTTCTTCTGTTTCTACATCACCTGTAACTGGAATGTAGCAGTTCAGGGTGCCTAGCAGGGCTGCCACTAGAGGGCACGAAATTATTTTAAACACTGAAGTTGCCATACTAAAAGCAAGTGGAGACTTTGAACTAACAAAGCACTGTAGAAAATGCAATAAATGTGACAAATATGTTATTCTAGGGGTATTTTTTTATATGATTAGCTTTTAACTGTTTTATGTTTTCAGGTATGATTTTACAAAACATTTATCAGAATTGGTGACACTATATAGTGTGTTATGGAATTTAGGAAAAGATGCAGTCAGGTTTAAGAGAAAAAATATTTTTCAAATAGGAGAATAAATTAAGCAGGTATTGCACATCTTTTTTCAAACCAGTTTGTGTAAAATTGGAGGTAGTTGAGTGGAAACACTGAGGTTCTTGTTTGAACTTTGCAGTACATATTAGCTATCTCAGCCCCAGTCTGTGTAATAGATGGCTGTTACTCAGAAATTCTCCACCCTCCATTTAATATTGCTTGGAATGCCTGTCTGTCTCCATTCCCTGTCTGAAGGGATAATATTTCATAACCATCTAAGGATGCTGTCAAGATAAATTCATTACGTTATATGGTTCTTCCATGCTGTGGCACTGGGGGTATACATGAGACAGACATTCTGATGATGCTGAGAGTCTGTTGTGGTTACAGACGAATGGGCCCTTGTCATCTGCCATTCCCTTGACATGCATACAGGCAGAATTTACCTCCTAAATGTAAAGACTGAGACACAGCAAAGGAGGATGCATGAGTTTGCTGTGCTCTATTCTAAGCTGCACAATTCCTTAAGGAGTAATCCCAATATATTTTTAATCCAATACCTTTCATGATAACAAACACTTTATAAAAAGCAAGACTGTGAGCTAAATGGGTAACTGGTAAGGAAATCCCAGTGACATCAACATCATGTCCATGTGCTGTATAAATGCGGCATGAAAATAAAGTTATCTCGGCAAAAAACCCATTGTATAAGATGAATAAAGTATGGTTTAGCATGAATGAAGCACTGAGCATTCATTCATGCAGGTATCTCTATTGTTACCCAGGAGACAGAAGTTGCAGAGAGGACCTCCTTAGTGGGCCTGTGTCTGTGTTAACTCTGGGGTTTATAATGGGAAAATAAATGCTGCTGGGTTTTAGAAATCCATATGACTTGGGTTCTGTGGGCTGAAGAGGTTCATGTCAACCCTGAATTTGCTCTGGCCCTGTGCAGAGTGGTGGCTGGCAGATGCTGGCTTCAGGGTGAAGGACTAGTCACTGGCAGGTCCTCAGATATACCTGTCAATTGATCAGGATGGATGAGCCTTAGCCTTGCCTTTATGTATCTATGAGTTTTTACCGTCCACTGTCAAACCTTATGAGAGTGACTTCTCAGTCT